TCTTATGAAGAAATAAACTTATCTACATCTTGGATAGCCTGAGGGAGGGGGGTATTTTTGTTTTTGGGTGAACTATGCCTTTAAAATTTAAATTTTAAAACTTTTAAGTGGCAAACAACACACATTCTATTCTAGTTCCTAGTTAACTCTCACTCATTCAAATCACAATACTCCAGGAACATACTGACTTAATTCCTGACGATAGCAGCCATTAGAATGTGACACTACATGGCAGAGAAGAAAAGCATGCAGACACAGTGCCAGAGGAAAGATCTTGTCATTGTTAGTTTGTCACTACTGCCTGGTCGCCAGGAATCAAGGCCTTCACTTCAGGTATGACGGAGACACAGAGCTCATTATCGGGTCTAGGCAGCATCTGAGCCCCATATAGTGTTTGAAACGTGTCTGGATCTGCCTCTTGCTATTTGCCTCTGATCTGTAGACAGAAAGCAAAAGCGTCATCTAGTTTTTGGTCACATTCAATAGGATTCTCTCTCCACCGACACCTACAGTACACTATCAGCAGAGACTTCTTTTTTTAACCACAATCCACAGGTTATAATCCTAAATGGAGTAGTCTGTGGGGCTTATTTGTGTGCTGCTGCATAGAAGTTCCAGCTTGTCATTTATCAGTAGAGGACAATAATAAAGGCACAGCGAGCAGTGCGGCAGTCGTTTCTTCCTCCTTTGGCAAAACTGTGATAAATGACTTAGCGGAGGATGATTTTTCATATGATGGTTATGCTCTATAACTGTCCTCATGGGCTGATATTGTAGGATTCTCTCTCCACCGACACCTACAGTACACTATCAGCAGAGACTTCTTTTTTTAACCACAATCCACAGGTTATAATCCTAAATGGAGTAGTCTGTGGGGCTTATTTGTGTGCTGCTGCATAGAAGTTTCAGCTTGTCATTTATCAGTAGAGGACAATAATAAAGGCACAGCGAGCAGTGCGGCAGTCGTTTCTTCCTCCTTTGGCAAAACTGTGATAAATGACTTAGCGGAGGATGATTTTTCATATGATGGTTATGCTCTATAACTCTCCTCATGGGCTGATAATACAGAGCTTGGAACAAATAAAACCTGAGGTAGTGCTCCAGGATGGGGTTCGACGAACACCTTTGAAAATTTCAGATCTCTTCCCTAGTCAACACTGAAGAATAAAAGGAAAAACATTACAAGCTTTTATATATTGTTTCCCAAAGCAGTGTTAATGCTTATGTTGGAAGAAAAGCATGCATCTTGCTGTTTTATCAGTCGCTGAAAGACCAGCATAAACGAGGCGCTTTTCAACTCCTGCTGAGCTACAATTCAACCGAGCAAATTATTGAAGCACCAGGGATACTCAGTAAGTAGAATCATAAACCACATTCATCACCTTAAAGGTTGGATTATTAAGGCATTCAGTACATCAGCAACTGATTTGCTGAGGCAAAAACCGTGAGAGCATATAATTAGCTGATGTATTAAACATGTTTCTGTCACTGATTATGGCACTAATGTGCAAAAATATTACACAGCATAGATAAATCCATCCATTCATGGAATTTCGGCAATCATGGAAATCGCAGCAAATTCTCAAGCACCTCAATCACACTGTTTGCCTACTAGCAGGAATAGATGAAGGCATAAACACTTCGCTTCACATTATTAAAAGAGAGAGAGAGAGACAAAAAAGAGAGAAAATGTAAAAAAAGAAAAGAGACCTTTTGGGGTAGGACGTTTTTAAAAGAAGTCTCTTATGCTTACCAAGGTTGCATTTATTTGATCAAAAATTCTGTAAAATCATTTTGAAACAAAATATTGTGAAATATTTTTAGAATCTTACTAACTTTTGTATGGTTGTATTGCCCGTGTGATCAGGGAAGCTGCTTTGACACAATCCGTATTGTATAAAGCAATATCTAGCTTATTTTTCAGCACGGAAGTAAGCCGTTTTCTGTGAATGTGCAAGATTTCTGGTTCATTAGCCACTGTAAGGAAATAACGAGAAGAATAACAAAGTGAAGTAAATGGTAAAACTGTTTGCACTACAAACCAGTGTGTTCATATGTAAAATAATACATTAAAATAAAATGCTAAGACACACCAGCAATATCAAGCAGCAAAATATATATAGCCTTGACGAGCATAAGAGAGTCCATTAAAAACAGTACTATATGCTTACATGTGGTCTATAAAACTGACACGAATAGAGGACAGTTTTCAGGATTTTTCTCATTAAATTGTTTAATTTTTAGAGTGTCTTAATATAATGGCTACTGTAGGCATATTAACTGTCATTTCCCACCAAATCTAAAACAGTCACTGAAAACGGTTTGACAGCCGAAGCGTTTGTACTTATGGAATGAACGCAGTATGATTGTGCTGTAATAGGATCTTTATCTGCAATAAAACACTGACATTTATGACATGAGTAAACTAATAATAAAGTAAACTTTCTGCCATTTCAAACATTTTCTGTCACATCCCTATGTGGCAATTTGAGAACAGTTTTAGAGAAATATCCGTTGATGCACCATGGGAAAACTTTAAATGAATTAGATAAAGATACACATTTGAGCTGATCAACACTGTCACCCATTTGTTTATTTATGAAGGAGAAAATCAGCTATATTTATCAGCTATAAACATGACAGCCCCTTCTGCTGCCCTTCTGTCGACTGTTTTCTGTTCCCAACATAATGAAAAACAAAACTGACTCCATGATCTTAATTTGTTGCCACAAAGGCAAACAAAATCCAAAAAAAGTAAGTAATAAATTATAAGTCCAACAGGTTTGGACTGGTACCTCTCGATCTTCACCTGGTCTAAACTCAAGGGCAATGTGTTACTGCTTATCTGGATGCCTGGTAAATAAGAGATCTTATCTTCCACTCACGATGACATTGAAGACCCATGCTCTAATCGATACAATCCAATTCTTTGTAGATCTGTGGCTCTGATTAGCGTCCCTCTAATCCAATCCCCGTTTTTGTCATCCATTATGGTGGCATGGTGGGGTGCTATAAAGGATGTCGTTATCGCTGGTTATGAGTTTAGCACTGATGTAAAGCTGGCAATGTGATTGGCCGAACGGAGACTTCCTCTGGCTCTTCTAATTGCAAATCCACTTGGGCCCAGACTGATACATTTCATCGCCTTGGCAACACTGCAGGCAGTGAACCTGGTAATGGGGAAAGTATATTCTCAGGGGAGGAAATTACTGCTTTCCATGTTGTAGCTGGACAGAGCAAAAGGGGAGCAGGGAATGGTGAGCAACCTGCCCTAAAAATATGTTGTAAATCTATTGTACAACAGATAGCGAGCTAGATAAAGGAACAAAACATTCAGTGGAATGAGGATGTGACATCCAGAACCTATCTTCATTTATGGTCACTGAGCCTGACTTATATTTGTAATGATGATGTGTCCTTGGAGGGCAATAGTATGATGAATCTGTGTGCAAGAATATGTGAAATGCAAATGCTCAAGGGTGCAGAAATAGGGGCAAGAAAACATGTTGCAAAGTCTTTAGCATGTATGTACAGTATCGAGATGAAACTGAGATCAGATAATCTGTGATAAATCGGTCTGGCAGATCACCAGATGAAATCACCACCTAAATTAGAAGTCACCTCATTCTTAACTGTGGATAAAGGAGACAGAAGAGATGCATGGTGCAGCTTTCCAGACCAATTTCGGAGCATATAATCAATGCAAAAGCAGAAATTGAGACATTTTGAGACGGCCATTCCAGTGATTTTATGCTCACTGTAGCGTCCACTTCAACAATCCAGCACCAACTGAATACATCCATTTTGGAATATGTATTAAAATAAATCTGTTATTAAAGTAATTTTGTATACATTTGGTTTGGCAATGCATTTACAGAATGTGACAAGTGACAGGCAAGTTTGCCTAAACTTCTCTCTCTGACTTTTCCCATACATAGACGGGAAAATAATTTGTTGTGATTTTTCATTTTCCCATTATCATGCCCACAACAATTTCACAGCACAGCAATCACACAATAATGAACTTCCAGAAGCAATTAAGAGGCTCTTTCTGGCACATAGCCTTTATGTGAGGAAAACACCTATGTGGGCTAATCATAGTGTGCATAGTAAGCTGGTGGATTAGGCTTTTATTTTTTGGTAATACAAAAGCTGAAATCCTCTAATCAAGTTCCTGTAATTCAGCCTAAATTGTGCTGGACATTATTGTAGCTGGCAAGTTGCCAAGGAAACATGAAATGAATGTTACAGAACCTAAAAAACAATATAGCATCTGACTTCACAAGCAGAGTTGGGGAAGGAAAAAAATCGATAGGTGATATTTTAGCTATATTTTGATTCATTTTATTCATATTTTTAGGAAAAGAAAAGATATAAGGCATATTTTAGCACTGGTCAGTGCACACTCAATTATTTATATTCAACCAAAATCTAGGCTCAGAACAGGCTAAAAAATACAACTGTGCAAATCACCGACACCCAGTGAAGCCGAATGAGAAACAAATGAGCAAAAACACTACAATATATCACAGTTCTGAATCCAAAAAATAATCTCCATGTTATTGTATCATGACAGATGTTGATATAATATCGCAAAGCCAAATCACCCCAACCGTGAACTTATTTATTCATGAGAATATCACAATGAGCATCTAAATCTCTCATGTAACACAGTCTAACTGGGAAATAACCATCTGTAGTGTGAAGATGGCGATAAATTCTGAAGCAATTTATGGAATAAACTTCTATATAACAGTGAATACAGTTAACAAAATTTACCAACTGGCCAATTTTATCATATTTATTCCTGACTTTTTTAGATAGTATTTTCATAATAGAACAAACAAAGAAAAATACAGAGCAGAAAATCTAGAGGTGTAAAAGATTTAAGTGAATTTGAACTACAGAAGAAACAATAGGATGTGTATGGACATATATAAAATATTTCTTGGAAAAAAATGATTAGGTGAACAGCAGCAGCAAGATCATATGTGTCTTACCAGTGTTTTGGTCCATGTACTCTTGTGAGGTATGTTGGTTCTGATGGACCCATTCCCCATTACATTTGAAGAAGATCTGCAGGGAAGGAGTTGCTCGACAGCGCAACTTGATTGGGTTGTTTTTGATTATGTAAGCATCCTCAGGCTCTTGCAAGAAGTGAGGTAATGTCCCACCAACTGATGACAGAGAATCAGCAAGGGCGTCACTGACGGTTCCTGTAAAATCAATTAACACGTGTAAGAAATGAGCACACTTCTCTAGCACATTTACTCAGAATTTAAACTCATAATATCTTAATTTTACAGCCATTTGTTAGTTCCATGAACACCCCAGATACATCATTTTCAAATGATTTGCTAAAAAAAAAAAAATACTGTGACAATCATATCTAAATGTGGTCTGCATTTAATACAGCTTCTGGTTTGTAAATATGGTGCTTTTCCTCTGGGAATGTTCTGAGCTTCCCATTGATTTTAAACTGTGTGCCAAAGAGACAATTCCACTAAAACAATTCAAGCCATTTTCTACTTTAAAAACGCATTAGCTTTCCCTGAGTGCTTTTGTGATGAAAAGAATAAAAGAATTAGCGATGGAAGAGAGTGCGACTGATTACTTTGTGTTTGACTGATGAGCTAAAATGCATCCTAGTGCAGAAAAAAAGTGAGAATGCTATTCCTTGGGCCTAGTGTGTTTTATTTTTCTTTCTTTCTGCCATCATTCTTTTTAACGGAAGGAAGAATAAAATAGCAGACAGGTCAACAGAGACAGAGAGAAGAGAAATAAGACAGATAAAGAGGTGTAAAGTATGAAGGGAATTAAGAAAGATTTTATTTGGAGATATTCACATGAATACCATTTTAATAATTGTAATTGCCTACACCATCTCTGACACTCTGGAATAAAACATTCCACCCATGAGAGACCGGCCATATACTGCGAAGTCTGTCAGATGTGTAAAATCCCATGAAAGCCATTAAACTAGCAGCTAATTCAGCTCTGCCCACTGAAATCTAATAGACTTTCATTTTTCACCACCTCCCACATTTGCTGTCATGTGAAATGAATAAAGAATGTATGCATACACACACACACACACACACACACTCTGAAAGCAGTTCACTGCTTTTTTTTTTCTTTTAACGCATACTCACTTCATATTCTCTTTTAATATTGTAGATACTGCAGAAGAACGTGTACTACCAAAAGTTCAAATATTTTTTAAATAATGGGGTCATGAACTGAGAAATCAAAACTTCCTTGATCCTTTGATATATAAGAGGTCATTGTGTTATAAAACATGCTGTAAGTTTCAGAACTCAAAACTTTCTCATTAGTCTAAAAACAGCTTATATTGAAGCCAATCTGCCAAAACAACAGCTTGTGGAATGTGCCACTCTATGATGTAATAGTGTGGCTAAACACCGCCTCCGCAGAAGAAGATCAGCGCCTGCTTCTACATCACTGTCTGTTTAGCCCCGCCCACTAATTCACGCACATAGTGGGTAAGTGACAATAGCGGCAAATGCAGGTCTACGCAGAAACCAAACGATAAACTTTATTTGATGAACTTTATTTTTAATGAAGTTCCAGAAATAGTCAGTAAGAACTCGGTCTTTTGTTCATTTCATTTTACCGTGGATTTGTTTACAAATAAGGCACAATTCGACACAGGATTTTCAGAAAGATTGAAACTAAAAGACGATGCTGTGCCAACTATATTGCATACGATGTTGCACACACAAAAGTGAGAAACTGTTTTTACTGCATGATCATACTATACTATGTACTTATGTGAGTATTTATGCATTTTTTTACCTAAATCACAGCAGTGTCCATCTATGAAGGATGTAGGCTGTCAAGCATACACAGCTGATGGCCAATAGCAGTGGGTGTTTACTTCCAAGTCTACAATCCACCATGCCTATTCAAACAGAGCTTTCTGATGAGGGGGGTCAAAAACAGGACAGAAAATAGCCTACTTCTTCTAAATTATGTTTTTTGATGTAAAAATCTTGATAACATAAGTGCACCTCGGAAAACAGTACCAAATCAAAAAGGCAGTTCATGACCCCTTTAAATAAAGTAATACTTTTATTTAGCAAGGATGCAGTAAATTGATCAAATGTGACAGTAAAGAAGACACTTATAATCTTACAAAACTTTCTAATCAAAGGTGTTTTCACAAAAATAAGCAGCTCAATGGTTTTCCACATTGATGATGATAATAATGAGAAATGTTTCTTGAGCACCAAATCAGCATATTAGACTAATTTCTGAAGGGTCATGTGACACTGAGGACTGGAGTAATGGCTAATGAAAATTCAGCTTTGCCATCACAGGAATAATTGGCATTTTAAAATATGTAACAATAAAACAGTCATGTAATATTCCACAATGTGACTTCTTACTGTATATTTGATCAAATAAATGCAATTCTGTCAGGACCACTATCATCAAAATGATAGATACTTAGCATAAAGTTTGGTTTGGCGGTATGGTTCTGTTCTGGGCAAAAACCTCCCTGCCCATCCATGCAGCCTGTCATGAATGAGCAGGGAGAGCAGCAATAATACCCCCCCTAGGGTTAACAGAACAGAACAAGGCAGATATCATTAATGTACTTAATGATAATTAAGTGTAACACTTTATTCAAAATAAAGGAGTCTGATTAGCAAGGAATATCAGAAAGCCAAGTCCTGACTGTGGCGAAAGGAGGAGCTGGGGATGGAGGAGGGTAATTTTCTCCGGAGCAAGCTGAAAAGCTGCTGAATAATACTGAATAGAGCTTATATAGGAATGCCGCGATAGGTGTCGTATTCCTATATTTTTGGTGGGCATAAAGGACGTTTTAAAAACATGATTACATAATACCCTAAACTGAATCCAAACTTAATTATAACATGAGACAGTACATTTAAAAAATCTCTAATATCAATAACTAATATAGTACAGATACATCATGCTTCCCTAGTGCAAAACTGTCATTGGTAGTGCAGGAAGTGCAGACAGTAACCTGCTATTTACAGCTGGATACTACCGCATAGTCAGCTGATATAAACTAACAGTAGAGTGACCTGGTGACCTCCAGCAATTTAATTGCCATCACTGTGTACAGCTGCACTCAAGTATCATCTGTCTAGCTTGTTTGTGAAGAAATGTAGTGTTACAATTGCCTCTGATCTCCCCTACTCAACTACAATCTTTAGACAAACGCACTGTGATTAAGAGAATAGCACCATTCCCATCATCTTACAGGATTTTCTTGACAAGCTTTTAAAAGAGGCAAAATTGCTGAAGAGTGGGCATGTTAATGATGTATAAAACAAAACATGCCACCAGCACTTTGACCTCTAATTAAAAATCATTCGTTGTTGAATGCTCTATTTCTGGGTATAGAAAAACAGCTTTGAAGAAGTACCAAAGAAACAAATGTTATCATTCAGAGTTATATTCCCAGGTGTGTGATACCTAGTTCACAGAGAAGTGCATTCAGAGCTGTTTGCAGAATCACCAAGTGGAAAACCAAAGTCACACTAGGGATGTCAGGAGAATGTCACAGATCACCCCATGGGTAAGGAGGCAAAAGCAGGAAATCTTAGATGGACGATATTACACTGGGTTTCAAAGCTCAAGGTACAAAACATGGAGCTCACTCTAAATAATTCAAAATGAAATGTTACTCTGCCTCTGCAGATGTTTGCTAGTAGTCTCACTGTGGACAGGAATTTGTCTTGGTTGCACAGAGCACCACAGATAGACAGATTCCCTGGAAAACAACACAGAATTACATCAGCATATTTAACTTCAGATTCTTCACGAATTCTGGTTATTTTGTCACCTTTGACTAAAATCTCAGCTTCCTCATGGAGCGGGCGATAAGACCTTGGGTGACCATCTTTGGTGTAAAAATCAGTTCTCAGCTGTTTTCTCGGTTCAGTATGGGGGCAAAAACAGCGCACAATTTTAGAAAGTATCACAGCTCAATCCTTTTTCTGTTCATTCTATGCATAAGCACTTCCAAAAGTTTGCAGCTTCAATCTCAAGCCATCAGGTCACTTCCATTGTGCAAAACCATGAATATCCTCTGTTTTCTACTCCCAAGACAAAGGGAGAAAGAAGGACACAATCCTGCTGTGCAGTGTTGCAGATAGGTGGGTGACAAGATGAAAATTGTATCATGAGCTGAATACGGCGACATCACTTCCCTCTGCTACAGAGGGTCAATGGTAGAAAAGGCAGCCGCAACCTTTTGGACAGAATTCATTATTCTTCCTTGTAGATCTGCCAATCTTTAAAGCCCATGTTTAATACATGCATTGCCCTGCTGAATTTGCTTGTTTTCCATTCATGCCAATGTCTGCCCTTAACATTGCATGGTATTTCTCTAATTTGAATTGTAGTATTAGAAGTACAGTTCCCTATGAGTAGTCTGGTCCTTCCATAACCAGCAGAAATTCCCAACATCCGTTGCACAAATTTCAATGATGAATAGAAGGAACAACCTGAAATGACTCCAGATCCATCTGCCATCTGTTGCTGTGAAGAGAGCCTAAACTTTATTTCACCCAAACTGCCTTGCAATGAATTAAACATGAATCAGACACAGCATCGTACTAAACTTCAGCAAGAAATATGATTAAATAATAATAAGATTTAGAAAATATTTTGAAGAATTTACAAGCCATTAGCAGCAATTATGCAGGAAAGAACTGACAGATGCATATAGGAATTATTATAATAAAGTAAATGGAACACAAGGTGAAGGTGAAAGCTAATTCTTATCAGTATGTTTATGTTTTTAACCTCTTGCTCTGTTATCTAAATGCAAACCTGTATTGATCTGTACAAAACTGATACCATCAATATATTAGTTCAGCAGAGTGGCTTAAAAATGCCCTTTTACATTATGGGCCAATAGGTGAACAAGCAAGATCACTTTGTACTTTGACTTTGTCAGCGTATATATAAGCAATTGCATGACTAGTGATGACGGAAAAGGCATTTTAAAATGACAATACACCCATAAATGAAAAATGTCATTATTTACCTATTCACCCTCAATGTTGTTGCTGTCCGTTTATTTTTTCTTCAATGAAAAACAAAATAAATTATTTGTTTAGAAGTAAATTTCAGTCTATTTCTCACACAAAACTTTTGCATGGACTTTGGTGCATTTTTGTCATTTGTATGGGAAAACGACATGAGGATGGGTAAATAATGTGTAACTATCCCTAGAGTTCATCTTCTAGGATTTAATCCACAACAAGTTCAACAGGAAAACAACAATACAGTCGACCATCATAAAACACACCCAATTATAAACACCTTCCCATGTGCAAATTCAATGAGGAACAGTAATGAAGTATAAAAGAATGAGAGGGGGCTGTAGAGGTTAATGGGTATGTGCACATCTCTAACTGGGTTTGAGTTCACACTGATTCCCAGAGTGCTAATTGTTGGCCTTATCCTTTTAGCAGTGCCTGCACACTTGCTGCAATAAAAGGTAATGGATAATTGGAACAATCCATGCTCTATAAAAACAGCAGAGCCAATTCGTTCTGCTCCTCCTATGATAGATGAGCATAAACGCAAGTCCTAATGACTCTAACAAGCAAGCCACCAATAAGTCATTCATTTTCTCATTATGCTAGTTAATTTTAATACAGCCTCTGCAATGAAGGTCCACAGCCTGTCCAATAGTTAGCAGACAGAGAAGAGGTAGAGTTATATAATATACTAATCCAGGTGATTCAATTATGTACTTTTAAGTAAAGACTGTAAAAAACTGCATAATGATGTGTGTTTATCACACTCTTACGAAAACTGCAAACCATGAGGTGAGACAGCATCACACCAACTCCCTAGATCTCTAAGTGTTGCTTATTTAGTGATGTTTATTTTGTGCATTTTTTCACTCTTTCAACTAATTTCTCAGTTTATTACATACATATGATATCCTCTATTATGATTGTTAAATGACAGTGTTGGCTGTCCCTTGTGAGTTTTAGCATTTAAGAAAGTGATGACTTTGTTATCTTTCCCTGGTTAGCTGGATTTCTGTTTAAACTCTGCCCTATTCTCCATGACATAATCAAGGTTGGGCTTGATTCTTGTTTTAGGCTGATTCATAAAACTCATAATATTTTCCAACCAATTTCTTTATCTTAATTTATTTCATCCACCAAAATAGGCTAATTATCATTAACAATTGTTAAAATACTGTTAAATATGTAATATTCAAGTGTGTGTGTGTGTGTGTGTGTGTGTGTAAGCAAATTAGCATATAAGAATGATTTCTGAAAAATCATGTGACACTGAAGACTTGAGATATGGCTGCTAAAATTTAACAAGAATAAATTCTACAAAAATGTCAAAATATTTTCAAAAAACATCATTTTAAATTTAAATGTTTCACAATACTACTGTTTGGCTGTATTTTTGATCAGATAAATACATCTTTTAAAAAAGAAAAACGAAATCTTACTAACCCCAAACTTTTGATGGAATATACAGGCATAGCAAAATCCTATATACATCTATATGTAACCTAAATGTTTCGCTCAATCATGCTTGAATTCAGTCATTATGAGTCAGTGCAACACTAAACCTCTAGTTCTAATAATCTCATAAAGCACATTTCCAAATAGCTCATAATGTGTCATGAATTCCCATGTCAGCTATTTTGGCCTCTCCGGCTTCCTGTAATGAAAGTGCATGGAAAGCAGCTTGGCTTGTGAAAGTGGCTTACATGGAAATGCATTTGACACATCAGTCCTCATCACCAAGTAGCCACTTGATGTAGTTACACATCACTGTTTCAGCACATGCACCAAAAGCTCCTGCCCTTTAAAACCATGTGCTTTACTTTCACACCCAAGCCTCTCATGGATTTCTGAAGAGGGTTTGACACGAGAGGAGGAGAGTGTGTGTACAAGTGAGCATGTGGGGGTTACATGGCGAGCACTCTGTTGGATTTCAGCAAGTTGAGAATTTTAAGGCAGAAGTGTCAGAAAGTGTCAAGATAATCCCAGCTAAGGTGAAGGGATGAGAGTGAGAGAAAGGGAAAGAAAGTGTGAGAGAGAGGAAGTGAGAAAGTTGGAAATGGAGGGAGGCTTTTGGGTTATAATTGATGTCTCAAATATCCCTCCTTCTGTTCACTCAATCACGTACATGCACACGCTTTCTGCAGGGAGCAAGGAAAATACGGAAAGGGTTTTGCCACCTTTGATTAACAATTAAGAAAAAAAAATATTACTATTAAAATGATTAAACCATCCTAAAATGAGTAAAGATTTTAGAATCACTTACTGAAGCCCTACATTTTTTTTACTTAAATTCAACCTATAATTTTAAATTGCACATGATCTTCTTAAATAGCGTTATTATGGTTCTGTAACATACAACAAAAATACAATATTGGTATATTTTAAAGAACACCTATTATGCAAAATTTGCTAAATTGATGTCACATTTTACAGGTCCCGCCCTGAGTGAGCCACACACAATCTACCATGTTTATCTTCACGCTAGAGCATTTAAAAGAAGCATTCAAGTAAGAAATGTCTTATTATTAGAGCTACAGAAATTATTCAAGAAAAGAGAGTGACATTCTGGTTTTATTTTATTGTTTGGGTCATGTTAACAGCATAGACAGGAATATAGGTACTGTATATTACGCTGCTGTTACTTAATACACAGATCTGATATAAACATGCGATTTCGTTCCCAGCTGACTACCTTCACAGACATAACCAACTGTTTTGTAACTTATGTGTGTTTTTAACATAAATGTGTGTGTGTATCTGACCGTTCAAGCGCAACAAGACATGAAAGAAAACATCTAAACATTAGTTTAGTACTTACATGCCGTGTGACAGCTGCTTTCTGTGTGCATGCTTCGGATGTGTGCGCTCAGAATAGCGTATATCATAACTTTAAACTGATATGGCTTTAAAATGTATGATTTCAGCTTGATAGACATGATAATCAAAACTAAACAGATGTTATTTGATAGAGTATCTGAGGTATGAGCTGTAAAGGCACAGCCCTCTTCTGAAAAAGTGGGCAGGAAACAGAAGCTAATATGCATTTAAAAAAGACATGCACGAAAACATCATAATGGTTCTATTTCCACTCATAATAGGCATTTTCAAAATGTTATCAAATAATCTGTGGGGTATTTTGAACTGAAACTTCACAGACACATTCTGGGGACACCTGAGACTTATATTGTAAAAAGGGGCACAATAGGTGCCCTTTAAACTTTTCAGCTAGTCTTCACTGATACAGCAGTGATGTAAATTAAATCTAGGCATAAGGTGAAAATAAGGTAGTTACACACAGAAACTGCATTGAATTATGAGTAAACTATACCTTTAAAATATAAGCATACATTTAGTTTTAGACGATTTTTTTGGCAGTAGGTTGTGCTGTTCCCAAACTTGCTCAGGTCTGGACGAAAATGACAAATCCAAGATGACTTGTCATTCCAAAACGGCACCCTCATGATCAAATTCGTTGACGCGCTACATGTGAAGGGCTTGGTAAAACTAAAATCTTAACTGACAAGATCAGACGAATGCTGTAAGGCATGTCAAAAGGTATGTATTTGACAAATTTAAAAACTGAGAAAATCTAGCTGGGCAGACATTGACCATAGCTATAGTAGTTGGGTGAAAATCCCACGAATCAGGGAAAAAGTTATATTTTTTGCTTTTATATTTGCTAAAATATATACATTAAAGTGTCCACATCAGGAGATAAAGATCAGAGTTGGGAAATACTTAAAACAATACTTGTTTTCTTGTTTTGAAAACAGAGATCTTGCTATAATGAATGAATTGAGGGACCCAGTGGATTCTCTCATTATTTGATGTATATCTTTAGAGCACATGACATTTCAAGTTACTCTATGCATATAAGCTCAACCAACTTTCTGACTTATTAACATTAAGGAAATATGCTTTCATGGCAATTAACATCACACTCATGCTGAGATGGTGATCCTCTCATAGAAGAGAGACACTCCATTTCCATTTTGATAAGTATCAACATTTTCAGCTGGTTTCTGGCCAGGCCGTGACAAGCTGTATAA